TTCGCGATTTCCGTTGGCTCGATCCATCATGTAACGACGGCGTCGCGCGACGGGACGCCGATTCGAAATTCCGCCTTGAGTTATTCCGTCTCTGACCAACGACCACTGGCTAACGGGGATGGGGGGACGGACTCCGAGTAAACGAAGCTCGTTTTGTCTATAATTAACACCGCTGCCCCCGATCGTACTTCTCGGAAGGAATTAATTTCGCCTGTTTATGGGTCCCTGGTGTGCGGCGATCCGTGTTTGTCTCTTGTTTACTCGGGATGAATTACGATTCTTATGCCAGTCCTGGCATTTTATCGGCTCCTTTAGATGAAATATTCGATTTCGTGGTAAAGGAGAGATGCCTTTAGGAAGGCCTGCTAGGCCTGCACCAGTACATGTTGCTACCTTCGTCGTACAGTCTCAACAGATACATTAAGAAAAAACAGCCAGAAGATTTCATATGAAATAATCGAAACGAAATTCTGTTTTGAAACAGAGAAAAATGGACGTAGTTCCGGAGAATTTTTAGACAAAAGTTTGAATAGTGGGTTGCCTCGATAAATTGAACAAAATGTGTGACCATTTTTTCAGATTAAATTTTGGCTGGAATAAAAGTGAAAAATAACTTTGTTCGGCTAGCGCCCGTGACGGAAACACTGCGCACTGAGCGAAGAGCAGATTTCGTTGTTTCGTGTCACCCTGTTGCCTCTCGCTGGGGCCCCCTCGGTGAATTCGTGATTAATGCCAGCAACGCGCGATTCGATATAAAACCTGACACCGCGCGCCGTCAGTTTTGCCAACTAACGAGCGAGCACCGCGCATACCTTATCCATACCTCCGCAATAAATCTCCAGGACCGCTTTGATTTATGCATCTTTTCGGTCCCGCGTCGTTCGCTTAGGATTTCTTCTTTTCAGCTTCTTCATGACTCTCTTCTCCCTCGAAACGTGTTCACACCGTGATCATTTTTTGCCAATTGCCACTTAGTAGATGATTTTTGCTTTCACGTTTACCACTACATTATACACCAACGTGGTGTCACCACGTCCAAGATTGGATCCCATAGCCACCAAATTTTCGAGGCCTCCAAAGCGTCCGTCATATACGAAGCCAACAAAATTTCGCCTGACGAAGATGCGCGCGTAGGCAGAAAAGAAAGAGGGGCGAAGGAGAATTTACATGCAAGAAGTGTAAATCATAACCCAAACAACGCGCTGCCAGCGGACCCCGCGTATTCCTGGCATGGGCGAGGCCTTTAAAACTGATTCATTACCCCGACACGGGATCCTCCTTCCATCTTTCTGGACCACGACCCTGGCAACGTCCAAAGTATCCCGCGAAAATGCTCCTTAATGGGAAATTATAGCGCGAGCAATGCGGAGAGACAAGGGAGGGGAGGGGGGGGAGCATCATCGCCGCAATTCGCGTTCTCGTTCGAGGCGGTCACGTAGAAGGAAGCATGAATCCACGGAGGGAGGTGAGGCTGGAATAATAAGCGGTCGTTCCCGTGGCGATCCAGGGCTCCAATCGCGTTTTCGAACGCGATAATTTCCCGGGCCCCACGGCCCCAACTCCGCGCGTCAATAAGCGCTGCACGTTGTTGTACGCCGATTAACGATCGATCGCTCGTATCGCGCGTGACTATGTTCCGGTATTAAGGCACACTCTCGACGTGGTCGATTCAAGCTGGATGAATTACGATCCCCCGGCCACGTGGCGATTAATAATCGAAAAGAGCCGCACGCGTTTCCGGTCGACGAGTCTCGGGGCATAGGTGACTATTTATTCATTGTTTTAACATAATGTCACCGGGTACATGAATTGGATTGAAAAAGCGTTTAAAGAAACCTTGGCGTAGAAGACTCGCTGTTTCGAGGCAATCGAAAGTTCAGATAGATTTCAATTATTGGGTGGGGCCCCCGGCCTTTTAAGCGCGCTAGAATTGCTGTAGTCGCGAAAGTGTTAAGACATCGAACGTGGGAGTTGTCGGTGACCAGCGTTACGGAACTTAATTGAATCGTTCGCTGGGTCTCGTGTAACGATACTTACCCGAGCTCCCAACGCGTTTAATGTTAAACGATGACATAGAATGATAACCCAGACCGCTTACCAAGAACTTGCAGGGGGTTTTAATTTAAACGATATACCGATACGTGTAGCTGATTTGCTATTCCAGAACAATAGATTGTCTGCTAGTATGCCCAAATAGTTTGTTTAGTTGATCGTGATTCATCGTTTCTCAAAGGCAGTGGTTGTTTGTCTTCATATCAAGCACATTCGTACAGTTTCACCATCTATTTCTAAAGCAGCTTGCAAGTTACTACGAGATAGGGGACCCGTATCTTTCGGAACACCAAAATATTTCTTCGTTATTACGCCCAGCGAGTTTCTAATGCTCTCTCGGTTCTCCTGATTCGTTATGTATTATTCACAACGTCTACTCTAAGCCAACAATTTCCATAACTCAACGAAGAAACTCGAGTCACGAGGGGTGACATCCCCGAGCCACCCCTAGCTCGGGGACAGCCAATGGCCGTCGGCACGGAAGAGAGAAATAGTGGATCCATTAGCGTTGCGTCGATTAACCCAAAGGTGCACCTTTGCAGACTCACGCGTCGTTCTGCCACGAGCGTCGCGTAAATCCAAGGGGGTGTCCTCTGGGTTGGGACCTACTACCATGAGTCACGTGTTTCCAAATACCAGGGACAAGTTACAGGAGGGGTAGTTCACCCCCCCCCCCCACCCCCAATCGATGGATCCTGCAAACGCTAGACTAGGCGCGCCTGTGACTGCCACTAACATCGCCAGAGATCGATTAAACCGTGGGTATATGCAGTAAGCCCTCAACTTAGATTAATTCGTCGCGGAGCTTTCGCGACTCTCGTTCATTTTTCGTAGGTATATGTTTAGAAATTCTTCTCAGGATTCTCTTTTTATTATTCTCTATTATTTTATTATTCTCCAAGATGATCAACGACGCGTCGATGTTCTTCTACGTACTAAGTTTCACAAAAAGTCCTGAATGATCGATCGGCTTGCGTTGCCTGCAGGTTAGGAAACGTGTCCGGTTCGGCCGATCCTTTCCTCACGCGTGTCAATCTTCGCTCTGGGAGCCACACACGTAGCGGGAGCTTGTTCAGTGCACGGAGATGCAACGCTGCCTGTCGTCTTATAAATAGCCGCGGAGCGCGTGTCGGGGTGCTAGCAGTTAACAAACGGTAAAACTAACACCGCCTCCTACAATAACATTTCGCTCCGGTCACGTGTATTCCGCGGCCCGACTATTATAAGATCCATGACTGTCGTCTCGTTGGTCTTCGCCCTCTCTGGCTCAACCTCGCCTCTCCCTTGTTGTCGTATTCGCTCGTCGTGTCTGCCTGGCGCACCCTTTCACCCCTGCTGCCGATTCCAACTCCGTTTCCTGCAATATCTCATGCCCCAGTGCCAATCCAGCACTGGTGAGCCGGGATCTAAGTTCAGATGGAGATTAATGCGTTCAGCCATACTGGGATTCGAACGAGGAACTCGTCTGAGCGTGGATCAACATTGTACAATTATTGTGAATGGTTTTACACGGTAGAAAAACACGGGGCGTACTAGCAACAGAAGGATCTAGCGATCCTGTTGGACTCAGAGACTCGATGACTCACAGTGAGCAGAATCAAACGAGATTGCTGATCACCCAACATCCCGTACCCTTGGGCCTCGTTCGTTAAGGTCGCAGACGATCTCCGCGCGGCGGTCTCTTTTCTGCCCGTCTCGAATAAAGCAGCGAATCTTGATCCTGTCGGCGGGTGGGGTTATGCAAATACACCGGACCTCGATCGTCTAGATCCCTGTTTCGGGTTATATAATGTTATGCTAGTTTAACCAGTCGTCGACTGTTCTTTTTACGTATCTCGACGAGGACCATCGACCAGCTTAATTAGGACCACCGTAAGGGGCCCGAGATTGAACACGTTTTTGTTCGCTCAGGAACGAGAGCGTACGAAGAAATGACTATGTTTAAAGGGGTGGGGGAGGGCTGATGATGCCAGGAGATAGATGACACACAGAGAGGTGAGGGACTCCGCTTTTTGTCGGGCTGTTTCTTTCGCTTGTTTTTGTCGTCCCTGTGACTGGTGGAGGCGAGAAAGTCCACGAGAGGGTTACAGTTGGTTTCGAGTGATTTCATGGCACGGTATTTATAACGTGTCGGTGGGAAATGACTTCTCTTCCGAACGTCTCAATCTAATCTCGCCCCCTGTCTTCTCGAATAATTGTCCGTTTCGTCGAGCCAGGATTTCTACCGTCCGACTTTGACGTTATCGAATAAGAGCGAAGTCAAAAGTTTATCGCGTAGGACCATTTTTGAATTCCCGTGTAGGAATGTCTGACTCAATCGTGCAACACGCGAACTCGCCTCGAAGCGTGGCCGAACCGATAAGAGCGCAAACAATATCTGGCCATTAACCGAGTTTCGATACGCGTACATGGTACGTCTCGCCTAGGAACACGTCATACTTAGCTGGCGATGATTGAGTTGACGCGCGTGTTTACGAGGGACTTGCTAGAACGTTCACGGATACAACGTACACAGATTTACTTGCGTTACCGAGAATAATACTAGCAATGGATGCTGACAAACTGGTGTCAAGTTTATCGTATGCTCGATAAATCAGGAAAATGTTAGTAGCTTCGGAAACATTGGATCGCGTATCTAGATGAAAATTGATGAGAACGACGTATGATCTTAGGTCCGCTGCGTTGGCTTTGCTATTGTTCCGTCTGAGACAACTGTTATTCGATAACATGCTACCAACGCTAATGCTGTCAACATTGTAGTCGATCAAATAGTTTTCTAACATTTCTGACGAGTTAGAGTTGAAGAAAGACTGGAGGCGGAAAAGAAAGGAATAATAGACAAATTTTCTTCTGTCATCGTCTGATTGATATCTCTACAAAACAAATTTTCTTCCACTTCCTGACGCAATCAGAAATTACAATAGAAAATATTCCGTTCTCTGTTCCAGGGAGGAGTGATGCGAGGCACGCAGGAGTAAGCCCCAAGCATCTTTCACAATGGGACTCGTTCGACGGACGAAGCTGTTCCCCAGCCGAACGATGGCGACCCTGTTACCGTTGCTGCTGGTCACGGCATTACCGAACGCTCGATTAGAATCAGCAATCAGTCCGGCGAGCAGCGTGGGCTCGGTATCGAGCGGCTCATCGTCGTCCTCTTCGTCGTCCTCCTCCTCCTCGTCCATGGTGGGCGTCGTGTCTGGCAGCGGTTCGGGTTCTGGGAGCATGGTTGGACCCGACAGCGGCGCTGTTGCGGGTGGCAGCAGCAGCAGCGGTGGACACTCGTCTCTGAGCGGAGGCGCGGCAAATGGAAACGGCAGATGCGAGGAGATCACGATCCCCATGTGTCGCGGTATCGGGTACAATCTGACGGCGATGCCGAACGAACTGAATCACGACACTCAGGAGGAGGCTGGCATGGAGGTGCATCAGTTCTGGCCGTTGGTCGAGATCAAGTGTTCGCCGGATCTGAAATTCTTTCTTTGCTCTATGTACACGCCGATCTGTCTGCCAGAGTACACCAAGCCTCTGCCGGCTTGCAGAAGCGTTTGCGAGCGGGCGCGCGCGGGATGCGCGCCTTTGATGCAACAGTACGGTTTCTCCTGGCCCGAGAGGATGGCCTGCGAACGATTGCCAGCGCACGGCGATCCCGACAATCTCTGCATGGAGCAGGACAACCGAACCAGCAGCACAGGGCCAGGATCGGGTAACGGAGGAGCTGCGAGCAGCGCTCCTGTGCCCGCGGCAGCGCCACCTCGTCCGACAAGGCCCACGAAGACCACCCAACCACCTCGGTGCAAACCGGGCAAGCATCAAAAAAACTGCCAGCATCCCCAGGGGGAAAGGGCGAGGGAGTGCACGTGCCGATGCAGGGCACCCCTCGTACCCCTGGGGGCGGGGGGCACGGTCATTCCGGGTCCGATAAGCGGCAGCAGCGTCGCCAACATCGCCAACGGGGGTGGACTGGCAGACATGGCCGTAAGTGGGGCCATTCCGGCGCCCCCGATAAGCACCGCACAGAACATATTGCAGGACATTGCAAACGTACCGAACTGCGCTCTCCCGTGTTACGGGGCGTTTCTCACCCCCGAAGAGCGAGGGTTCGCGGCCGTATGGCTGGCTCTGTGGAGCGGCCTGTGCGCCGCAAGCACGCTCGTGACCGTCACCACGTTTCTGATCGACACCCAGCGCTTCAAGTATCCTGAGAGGCCGATAGTCTTCCTGTCGGCATGCTACTTCGTGGTGTCCGTCGGCTATCTCTCGAAGAGCGTGTTCGGTCACGAAGAGATCGCCTGCGACGGGCCAGCGTTGAAGTCGGGGGCACAGGGACCCGGGGCTTGCGTCACCGTCTTCCTCATGATTTACTTCTTCGGCATGGCCTCGTCGGTTTGGTGGGTAATCCTCGCGTTCACGTGGTTCCTCGCGGCGGGTTTGAAGTGGGGCAACGAGGCGATCGCGTCTTACTCGCAGTACTTCCACCTGGCGGCATGGCTGGCGCCCACGGTGCAAACGGTCGCAGCGTACGTCGCCGGAGGAGTAGCCGGGGATCCGGTAGCAGGAGTGTGCACAGTAGCTCCGGAGGGGATTCGTTCGTTCATCCTGGTGCCGTTGTTCGTCTACCTTCTGCTGGGAACGAGCTTCCTTCTGGCGGGATTCGTCAGTCTGTTCAGAATCCGATCGGTGATAAAGAGGCAACCGGGCGCCAAAGCGGACAAGCTCGAGAAGTTGATGATACGCATAGGCGTGTTCAGCGTTCTGTATACGTTACCGGCTGGGGTGGTATTGGCCTGTCACATGTACGAAACAACCCTGAGGAACGAGTGGCTGGCCTCCCTGGCCTGCCCGTGTATGAAGAGAGCAAGACCTCTCTACTCCGTCCTGATGCTCAAGTACTTCATGGCGCTCGCGGTAGGCATCACGTCAGGCGTGTGGATCTGGAGCGGCAAAACCGTCGACTCGTGGAAACGTCTGTGGAGGCGTTTGTTCGGAGGAGGGAGCGGAGGAGGCGGTCACGGAGGCGGTGGCGGCGGTATGGTAGCAGGCGTGACAGGCGTCAGCGGAGGCATCGGCAGCAGCAGCATCAAGGGCGTCGTAGGACGTGTCGGAGTGCCGTATCCATCGGCGCCGGGTCCTGGAAGCGCTTTGTTGCCGCCGGGAAGCGTAGCCAGCGCTTCCCAGCACCATCTTCACCATCACGTTCTCAAGCAACCTCCTCTGTCGCACGTATGACGTCACCAGTCGGCGGGGGGCGACATGAACACCGCTGGCTGCGATCAGCAGCAACAACAACAGCAGTCGGTGGGGCAACAGGAGAGGCCTTCCGCCCTTAGTAACTACGGGCCCATTTAGCCCTTCGCCTCGGCCTCGCGCAGGCACACGCCGCATACGGCGCCACATACGGCGCCTCACACGCCGCACTCGGCGGCCACCATCTACTCGAGGAGGTCGTTGGCGTCGACCACGGGCCCCCTCACGCCGGCCCACGGTCTCGCGCCATCGTACACGCAGGCCACCGAGGTCTGAATCGATCTCCGACAGTGGGTACGTCGCTGTTGCGGTGCTCGAGCGAAGAAGGGCTCGAGGAAACGTGCGTTCCGTAGCACCTCCACGTGGTGGTTCTACGCGACGCTTCGGAAAACGTCGTTGATACGCGACGGTGCTTCTCGATTACCCGATATACGTACCAGTTCGTACAGTTGGAGGCGCAAAGGTTGTCCCGATATCGTAGGAACACACCAACGCAAAGTAACTGTGCGGGATACGTCTCGTAGTCGATGAGAATAAGTTTGTAATCGGTAAAACGCGTATTCCGTTGTGGATACAAATATGACAAACGCGTGCTAAACGTATGCAGAAAGTATAAATTTTATGCAAAACGAAGTATCCAAATTGTTTTGTTAATTTATGAAACAAATATTCCGCATACTTTTTCCACGCTGATAGACGTTACTAGTGTATAAAGTATACGACGCGATGATGCGCGAGTCTTACGTAAAGTCTGTATTGTATAACGTTTGTCTGCGTGTAGTTTCCCGCGCGACGTTACTGTTCTTGCGATGTCAGGACAACCTCCGTGTCTCTCATTGCACGTGTCTCTGCCGGGAGTCTCGAGCCGCCCTTTTCCTCTCACCTTGCACGGCGGGTGCGTCAATGAGAAAGTCGCGAACGGGTTGCCATTCATCCCCAGCCATTACTCGTCGAAGAGACAGTGATTTAACCGGTCTCGAAATCGCTCGATCGGTAATACGAGCGGCCCAAAGACGTGAAGACGGCAGTATGGACCTCTCCTCGAAGCGCCGACGTCAGAAAACGCCGGTATCTCAAAATGGCGGTCGAGACTGCTCGGTTAGTAAGATTGTGATTTTTTAGTGCATCGATTGAAAGTGACCAGGAGCGAATGGTGTGCGCGAAAGGACGTGTGACAAGGACTCTATTACACGTATCTATCTCTACTTTTTCTTACTTATATACCGTAGCGGAATTCGTACAGTCCGCATGTCCGTCTAACGTGTATCGTCTCGTCTATTTATCTAACCTAGGCCATAACTGAATATAGGTGTACAACACGGTTTTTTTTTTTTTTTTGCTAGATCGTACGCGATGGACGGCGGTGGTCCAGGCATTCCAAGACGCGTTTTGTTTTTTTTTTTGTTTTTATATAGATATATATAATTTCATACCATTCAGCTGATCGAAACGATCCGATCCAGCTGGACTTTTACGGGAAAATGAAGAAAGTATACTCGAACCGAATAACAGGCTCACCGCCGTCCGATCGTTGACAGTACGACGAGCGAGTGTATAGCGCAGATGCTAAGGAAGACGAAGGAATAGGTGAACGAGGTGATTGTAAATATTAATCTTAGGTGTTACGCGTAGCGCTGTAAATAAAAAAGAAAAAGAAACGGAGGGAAAACGAAACAATCGTCAAAAGGATCTACGTATATCGATCGACGCGAGCTGTGCAGATCCACGGATGCGTGCGGACGCTAGGGCGTGTTACTGTCGCCGGTGTACGCGTGTTCCTTTTATGTACTTGGGCTATAGTAGTCCGTGGAGCCTCGTATTCGTCTCGAATCTTTCGAAGAATGTTGATAGTCTCTCGACCGAAGTCACTGGTGTGTGAAAAAGACGGACGATTCCGATATCCGACGGGCGATCAATTAACGATCGAAATACCTCGATAGGAAGCTTCGAAGGAGCCGCTAGTCTTGCCACGGACGAAGGAACGCGCCGATCGAAGTGTGGATGCGGCCAGAGTGAGCATGATGTACAGGGTGGTTCGCATGCTGCGATCAATTGAAATAGAAACGTAAATATTTGTTACTTTGAAACATGGTGTGCGCGGATTTGGTTAGTATCGAAGAACCGATGTTAACAAATTTTGTTAAATTCACTTCTTCGATACTAAACGATTTCATGTAATTCATTTCTCGATATAATAATTGTTTACGATTACATCATGTTGTATATACGGTATATAGACCACTCTGTATAATGTATACATTTATATACGCACGCGCGCTAGCGACGACGTGATTTCACGCATCGAACAAATTTTTTACCGCCGAACGAAGTCTCCTTCCCCTCATCCTTGACCGTTTTATATATTACATACTCATATATATATATATATATATACGTGTCTCGACGTAGCAGGCAAAAATGTATAGACAACACCAGAGACATCTGTTTTTTTTTTTGTACCCAGCACGACTTCCGGTTCCAGCATCGAGAAAATCGAGTTGTGCGTACGCACACTGGACACATCCCACATGTACACATACACACATACAGCCGTACACACACATACACGCACGCAGTAGAAGAAAGATACGAAAACAGTTCTGTGTACCCCGAATGTCGTAGGTATATATAGAAGAAAAAAAATGAGGAAAGCAAATTTGTACACGCTCACGTGTCTATGTCCGCGCAATCTAGAAGTAGCTGTTGACACAGTGCGAGAATCGAATGCACGCGTAAAAAGTACGTGAATATATACGTGTATATAGAAATTATATATATGAGTATATATTTGAGTACGCCTTTATATATAAATATTACAGATACATATAAATATATATATATATATAAATATAAATATATGTCGATAAAACGCGCGCTGTTCACAAACGGTATCGATATCTCAGTTTTTATACTCACTGGAGAAGTACGTGGAAGTTAAAAAAATTCCCGCGGTAAACGTTTCCCATTAGTGCTCCTCGCTGGCGACGTGTAGCGAGCCGATCGCGTAAGACTTGTTCTTCTTTTTTTTTTTTTTCTATTTTTCTAACGTGAAATTAATATGTCTTATTTTTATAGTTGTGAGGTGTAATATAGCTGACTATGTTTGACTAACTTTGCCTCGGAAGAAAACTTCTTCCCGATTAATTGGCACCGTTATAGGTGATCCACGTTGCGTTCAGTCATCGTAGTAGTGATATTTGAAAAATGATGCTCAAAACGTAATAGTAACAAATGATATTCAAATAATATTAACAAACGAATTCGGATGGTACTATTAAAGAAAGAATATCCAAATAACGGTATTCAAGTAGTAATATGTAAATATTCAAAGTTCATTTGTGGCATTCGAGTACCATATGGTATATTCGAATATTCAACTGACGAATATTCCCAGTTAAGAGTGAGAATTGAACGGCAACCGAAACAAGCGAAACGCCGTCGTGTTTTTTTTCCGTATTCTTATTTTTTGGAGGAGAGGTCGTTTCGTCGTTGAAACATCGAGTCACGCGATCGACTCGCGAAATGGTTCTCGCGAGGAGAGCAGGTGGGAACGATCAGGCGGGGAGCGACAGGCGACAGGACTGAAAAACTATAACTGCCTCAAGCGAACTTAAACAAAAACAAAAATGTTAAAAAAACCACACACGACCCGTATCGCAATACCGGACGGGGACCCCTGCCAAACGAAAACGTACACGTGTAATGTTGTAAAGTAGCAAGAGTAAAGAAACCTTTTAGTGTCACATATCACGCCAAGCCGTTACGAGCGAAAACGGACAATGTCGCGTTCGCTTAGGTCGATTGACGACCAAGGGCGCGAAGGAAAGAAACAGGTGGAAAAAGGAACGGGAGTGCGGGCGCCACGATGCGCGATACAAAGTCGAGTCGGCCGAGGAACGAACGCGACGTTAGAGAAACGAGAGGGAGGAGTTTATAACGAGTATTTGTAAGCCACTTTTTGTCACGATGATTGTCAATAAAATTGAAAATACTGTGTGTAACGGGTGTGTTCCGGGATTTCATCCACATTGGCTCTTCTAGAGACGTTTTCTTTTACGTTGAAACAACCCCAAATCGGTAAGAGAACGCTTATCCGACTGGAGCTTAATCCCTTCGTGTCTGTGCCTGGAAAACTACGTAAAGGGTGGGCATGAAGGGGTTAAAAAACGAACCGCGTCTTCCTCTATTTTTCTTTTGTACGTTTTCCTCGTTTGGCTTTTACGTTCTTTACCCAGAGAACGCGCGGATCCTGTTTGGGGTCCGTACTCGACACCATCTTTGTACAACTTTTACGTTGCCATAGTAGTTAACGAATGACCGACGACCATATCGTTATATAAATATATATATATACTGAAATCAAAATTGTATACGATTTTTAATATACTTTATTATTATTTAAGTTCCTTGCGTTTGTTCTTCGTACCTGAGAGTTGTCCTCGATCCTACTGATTCGGGAGTAGACTCCGTGACGCGAAAAGGTAAGTTACCAAACTAGATTTTATCCCTGTAAAGCGAAGCTCATATTTGTATTGTTTATAGTATAACGTAGAGCTGTATATATATTATGTAACTTTTTCAGATATTTCTATACAATTAAGCTCTGTTTTTTAAACTCTTAGTCAAAACTATAAAAAAATGTTGATGTTTTGATCTGTGCAGAATAAGAAGCATAATTATTTACCGTTGAGACGTCTTAAGTAAATACTTCCTGCTGTAAGTTATGACTGACTATAAACAGAAGTCCCGGAGACCCCACACTTCACTTTGTATCAAACAAAAAAGGGTTCCTTCCGTTTAAGAGGTTCGAACAAGTGGCTACATTCTTTTGTGTAGAAGTGCCGCTATGCAACTCGACGAGATGGGACTATGGTAGGAATCCAAATGCAAATCATGTTTCTACACGAGTTATCATTTTAACGACCATTCGAGTTAATTGTTAGTTTGCAGTTTAACCGCTTCGAAAAAAAGTACGAAGAGAAATGGGAGTAAATTAAAAATTTATTTTTCTGAAACATGGTTCAAACTAGGCAACATTCCTTTACTTCATATTTACAATATCGATCGATCGATTGTTTGAGTTTCGACCACGTTTTGAGAAATTCCAACGCTGCAAGGAAAAAGAAACCAGCCCCTCGAATTCTATTTCGAAGGAAAAGTGCCATAAACTAAAGCCTAACGGCGCTTCGGTATCCAGGGAAACGAGCGGCTAAGAATATCGTGGACCTCAAAGGGTTAATACCCAAATTTCGCGTTTTCAGCGGCAAAGGCTGGTTTTGGCCGGCGGCGCATCCATTAGAGAAGATAAATCCGTCTTTAAGACGCATCGAGCCGTAGGGTGGTAGAAAAGTTGCCGGGAAACCAAGCTGGATTGTTTATAACGCCGCCATTCTCTCCATTCTCTATCTTTCGCTCTGTTTGTACACTACGAACAAAAGCTGGCGGATAAAACCACGAATAATCTTGTAAATATACAAGGGAGCCTTCATTATTCGTGCCGGTAGGAGAAGTCGAGGCTTCGATTAAGGGAAGTTTTCACATAAAACGAGTACTTTCCACAGTTATATTACTATATACTAATTTCTGAATTTTTGTACTTCTTCCGCAGACTCCAGATATAAAGAACAACATATACTCCATCCATAATTAATACACAGCCAGAATCAAATTCAACAATCATACCCAGTAAAATATGTGAGTCCATATCGTCTTTACAATATCCCATTATTCGTCCAATTTTTATTATAAATTTACCCAACTTGTACCGCTTTCTTATCTCTGTTTGCACACTTGCATACAGCCTGCAGTTTATATTTCAGCTAAATGCCCTTAGGGGGAGCCCGGCGCCGGACTAAGTAATAAACGAACTCTCTCGTTCCTTCTCTGTCTTGGTCTGCTGAGAATTAATGTAAACGCAGACGGGTGTTTCAGTCGGTGGACGTTGGTATTTACACGACGTTAGGAATCGCCCGGTGAAAATCGCCGTTTAACCGGGTACCTAAGTAAACCTACCCCTGGGTGGCATGAGTCATTGCCGCGGGCACAGTCAGCGCCGTGGGGGCAAACACCACCACCGCCACTACCCCCTTCCACTTGAACCAGCGACGAATTTATGGTCCGTCGCTGCACCTCGAGCATCGCCGCCATAAACAAACGATATTAACTCAACGGACGTTTACGGCCCTCGGTGGCTGCTCCGGAAGATAAGGATCTCCGTTACTCATTCACTCGTTAAGTTAACTGGCCGCGTGCGACGCGTTGATTTCCTTAATTGCAGCCGTGCCCCGATGCGCCTTCCGCAGTGAAGGAACCGTGGCGAGCGTGCAGCCGTTTTCGCGGGGGACTCGCGTGCCCACTGCAGCTCATGGGTTGTCCTACGGTTCGATTAAGCGTGCTTTACGTCCGAGAGATCTAATTGCGATTGGATGGATACAGACAGTGTGTTCGATGCTCATTTTTGGCGAGTACCTGTCTTGGAGGAATACATTTTTGCATAACTTGTATCTATACGGTTATTTAGTTAATTTTTGGTGGACAGTCGATTGGATTTGATTCTATTTAGATTTACGCTATTAAAAGAATTAACATAAAAAGCTGACGGGATGGATTTTTTAAGTCCTTTTTCCATGAGTAATTTTCTCGCAGTGGAAGGTTAATGTTATACATGTTCTTTAAAATAAGTAACAACTCGACGAGCCATGACTAGTCGTTTTCGAACACATTGGTCACCGTTGAGAATTTCTCTGGTTCTTCATTACTGATCCTTTCGAAACCTCACTCGACCCTTCAACCGAAATTTTAATGTTTAATGAACTATTCCATTGCGAAGAAATTGAGGTAGCTTTAACGGTGAAATTAAGTGGGATGGATCGCTACCTACTCGTTTTTGCGAGCTCTGTGTATCAGCCGCGTCATTCTGACCGCGGACCGCGTACCCTTCCTTTGTTGTGTATTGTCCCCGGTCACCTCGAGGCCTCTACCGAGCAATAACATGTTGGCGAAAATAGAGAATCCCATTCTCTCAATTACATTTCAAATTTTTTCATATCGAATTTAACCACACCCGTGCTGAATCACGAAGCCGAGGTTAGTTTCGTTACAGACCTCGGAACGGTATCATGTGCGTGTACTTGCTACCTTTTCAAAAGTCTTGCTCTACGACGAAGTGCCGTTAATGTTGATAGAAAATGTTTAGACGATAGCTAACGAGGAGTGTTTATAAGTTAGAAGTGTTTGTGCGCGTCTTGAGGAGGAAGTGCTTCCAGACATTCGAGCATAGGACATCCTTCGCTTCTCAAAGTGAGTACAGTTTGGTTTTATAAAATGAAAGTGGAAAGTCGCGCAACCAGCAATCTCGGATAAGAGAAACCATTTCTCATTTTCGTATACTTAAAGTAATACCATCTCAGATTTGGAAAATTCATTACAGACGAATTGATTTTTCAATACTTTTCAATGACGATTAGATTCTGAAATTTACTTTAGAATGTTTAGTAGGAAATGAATTCTCCTTAAAATAATTAGAAACAGTCCGAGAGGGTAGCGAATAATTCTTACTTCAATGAGCCGGAGTCGAGAGGTCAAAGGCACGGGAATAAAAATAATACGTTCACTTTTGCAAAGTTGCGAATGGATCCTTTTGATCCATCAAGTGCATGCAGGCTTAAATCGAAAGCCAAACAAAGTGGTTTCGTTTCGATCGTTGGTTTCAATGGTGGTTAGTCTCGATGATCCTCGAACGAGATTGACGGCGTCGTCGAGCGAGTCCGTGGCTGTCAGAAATAGATCTTGGGGCTGGGTTATTTACCAGGAGACCGCGTACGAGAACGATTTACGAGCAGATTTGCCGAAAGGCCTCCACTGATCGGTCGCGAGGCAGGCTTCCAACGAGCCGTGATCGACGACGACTAATTGCGCCTAAGAAAACTAATTTACGGGGGCGGGAACGGATCCGAAGCTTTCCCTATGTTTATCGAGCGAAACAACGTTTTCCAGGCGGCGGAGAAAGGACCTCCGAGTTTTAGGCATGTTCCTTCCTGGTGTCTAACATTAGATTGTATCGAGAGTGTACACGTGCCATAGTCCTACCTCGAATAACGTTCATTGCAGCTCGTTTTCACTAAATCTGGGACATCGTAACGATCTTTACACCCTAGCTATCGACACTGAGAAAACAGGGTCCATCTACCACTAACAACGAGCTGATTTTCTATTTTTTTTTAAATTTAACGTATTAAATATATAAGTAATTTCTATTTCTCTGTCTGATTTATCAAATACATAAATAATTGTATACAATTTTATACGTTGAAGAACGGATGACAGTGTTATTTGTCACTGGTTATTTTTCCACCAGCGGTTAGCCACTGCATCGTTTTCTCGGAGGCAAAAGATAGAGACGTAAAATCAGCTCGATGTCCGATTACACGCTATCGCGACGCTCATTATATTCGCGCGTGTAAGCAATTTATGCATACAAACGTTACCACATGACCATCCCTTATCGTCGTGTCAAGGGTCGACTCGACGTCGGGATCGCTCCTCGCATTCATTCCAGGGGAGATTAATCGCTCCTGGGACGATAATCTATTGCTATATAAATTACCAGTGGCGAACATTAAGATACGCGCTTGTAAATTGAATTTTCTTTTCGTCGAGCCTCTTCGGTGAATGCTACCTTACCCAACGATTCACCGAATCGGTTGTTAAGTTTCAATTACTAGCATGTTGATATCACGGAAAGGTACTCTAGGCTCCGACACTTCTAGACTTTTGTATTTTCTAGGAATTAAAATTTTTGAGATTTCTATGCTCTTGAGATCTCTAGACCCTGAGGTTTCTAGACTTTGAGATTCTTTGCCACCTGCAATCCTAGACTAGACCTTGGCATTCCTGCACTCTGCAAAAGCACAGCCCGACAAAGTAAAGACTGATAATATTATTACCAAGCTAAGAAGCAAGTCTAAGAGCGAAGAAAGTAAATACATATTAAGAAGGATCCGTGCCAAGGCTTCCCAGGGACTCGTCGCGCTCCACTTATCGTTATACAAACTCGAAAGTGGATCTCTACAGCTCGAGATTCGCTTCTCGAGAAGCGGAAGCTTCGTCCCATTCGAGAATTCTGGCCGTGAGATCGCGGGATGGGTTTTGATCCGCGTGTATCGGTTCTATATTTAGCGTGGCTTACGATCTGTCGATGGCCGTGCGCGCGGCACACAATTTCTGCGGGATCGATCAGTGGGAGGACGTCAATGACCGGCAGACGGTCCCGCGTGGTTCTCGTGGAGATCAGGCTCTCGTCGAAAAACAGCGATATCGTGAGCCTGGGTTACGAGGCGGCGGACAGCCGCCCCTGTGAAAATATTGTTTCAACAGCCGAGGCTTTACCGAACGACGGGGCCT